CCCCCAGAGATAACCTCCTCACCCCCACTTCCTGATGCCCCTACAATTGCATCTTACACTATGTTGTCCCCATCCTCATCCTTCAGCCTTATGCCTACTGACCCTGTCCCCCCTTCCTGGCATGGATCCCCAAAGAAAGACTAAAATCTGCCTACCTATAGCAGTATGTTACAGGAAGGCATGCAACAGCATCACCAATAGCACATGGCTAGGATGGGAGGGGTTAAGGGCTACAGAGCCCTGAGAGAATGCCTCCTGCAAGGTGCTGCGCTCATGCTCAAACAGCAGGTGATGCTACTGTGTCTTTCAACATTTGCCTTTGATGTGGGATCTTCACAAAGCTCTAGTTGCTTAGTATTTTTGTGGATGGTTCAATTTTTTTTTTTTGCAGATTTTATGGACAGGCCATTTTACACTTTTTTTAATGGCCTACCTATAAATTTATGAACAGTCAGCCACCCTGCATGCAATTGTATTTAATGGAATACATAGATGGTTCTTCTGTGAATGTCATTTTCTCTCTCCCAACAGTTTCATTGGTCATTCCCTTGGTAATGTCATTATCCGATCGGTACTAACCCGACCCAGGTTTCGCTATTACCTCAACAAGCTCCACACCTTCCTGTCCCTCTCTGGGCCTCACCTGGGAACCCTCTACAACAACAGTACTTTGGTTAGTACAGGTAAGGGTTTGTGGAAAAAGCTGAGTTGCTTTTTATATATGAAGGGTCCATTAGGAAGACTCTATCTGAATGAGATAACAGTACTGACTTGTGTTTTTTTGTTCTTAACTGAAGCTCTGGGGACTATTTCCACCAGACCTCAAGGCCCCTCAAATGTATCTTCGAGTTTTTGTTCATCAGCATTGAGGAATCTTAGCCTGTTTCCTGAATTAGGAAAGCCTGCACACGTAGTCTGAAGTGTAGGTCCCATGTCTGTAAACTGGTTCTTGGCTCTAAAATCCCATTCTGTGTCCGTGAAAATGCAGTGTCTATATGAAATCCCAGCATCAGATAATTTTAGTAACAGTAGCTGCCCCTCTATTCAGCATCACATTACCTGCAAAAACATGAGAATAGGATAATGCTCAGGGAAGTGTAGTCCTTGCCCCATCTAAGACTCCAAAGAGAGAAGCACCTCTAGGGCTGATGGACAAGGATTATGGTGCAGGGTCTAGCTCTCTTGGGTACTTATGCCCTCTGCTCACAGCAGTAGAGAACCAGTAAGACCCTTAGACTTTCCTAGCTACTGGGCACCACCATAAGGAAAAAAGCAGCATTTTATTTGTTTTGTAGATCTAGCGCTGGTGTGTTGATGCATACCTTTCTCTTAACCAGGGGAGTGTTGTTTTTTTTTCTAAGGTGAAGACATCTAGCCTGTTAACTGGCAAACAGGGTAAAAGCCCATGTCAACTGTCATTTCAGGCCTGTGGATCATGCAGAAGTTGAAAAAATCAGGATCCCTTTTGCAGCTTACCTTCAGGGACAACGCGGATCTACGCAAGTGTTTCCTGTACCAGCTCAGCCAAAAAACAGGTGCGTAGTGTATGATGTGGCTGTCTAGAGAGATGGTGCACCTTCAGAAAGGTCCTATGTTGAGGTACTTGCAAGGTTTGGAAGAAGATTTGCAGGGTGTTTTTTATTATCTGGGCAGCGTGATTTTGGGGTCTTTTTGTTGTGTGTGTTTTTTTTTTTTTTTAAGCGCACCATGATATTCCACAGCCGAGGCTGTGACAGGAGGAGGAAATTAATGAAATTTTTGTCTTACTTGTGATTGGGTTTTCACCTGCAGGCTATGCTTTCTTTCATAGTACCATAACTGATCATATACCTTTCTCTTTCCTTCCTTCAGCTGTATTGCTTTCTGTACAAATCCCTGCGATAGCACTAATCTATACATCCTGCAGACTGGAAGTCCAGCCCAGTTCTTTGTGCTCCTAGTTACTTCAGTGATCTGTGGATCAGAGCCTAACTGCACTCATGTACTACTTCATGAGTCTTGCAGCATGGAGTGCTATATATGATGACTCCTTTTACAATGAAAGCGATGCGCTCCATAGTTCACAGGCTTATAACCAGCTTATCTCTTTTTCTATAGATCCTGTTTATGCATTGGGCTAAACAGTGATTGTTAAGGAAGTTTAAATTCATGCATCTTAGTAGATCTGGGTGCATGAGCAGTAAATTAACAAAGAAAAATAACCAGACAAGGTTCTTTGGGTGAATCTGATACCTTTTATTAGACCAACTTAACAAAGAGAAATAACACGTTTGGGGGATAAATTCCAAACGTCACGGGCTTTTAATCACCAGCTGGAAAGGAATGCCTGTACCCTATATTTAAAAAAAACACAAACAAAAAAATGCTTCTGAGTCCATAGTAAGGATATCAGTCCAAGTAAAGTCAAATCCCGCTCCAGCCTGGTCATGTCTGTGTTGTGTATTTCTTTAAAAAAATTAAATGAATAAATTTCCTAAAGTAATGGGAATGTCATGCCTTCCTGAGTAGCCACATGACACCATTAGTGGAAACCTCATCCTTCATCTCTATTTTACCCACATATCTTGTTTATTTATGACAGTCATTCGCTGCATCAGTCCTGAACCTAGGCCTGACTGCTGAGAACACGGACATACATGAGAGCCCCACTGAGCCTAATAGGCAATCTTCGGTGTGTGACATTACTCACATGCATGAGTTTCTTGATGGAGGCCATAAATCAAAAATTCTTCCAGGCAGAGACAGTGCTCTTACATTTTTCTGCTCAGCATCTTAGTGTTCTCAGGGATTAAGAAGAAATGAGCACTGGCAGCCATTTGCCTCCCAGCAATGACATCCGTTTATTGGGCTGCAATAACCTTTACAAATATATGCCACAGATATTCTTCATATGACATTGTATCATGAGATTTAGAACATTTAAACATGACATAATCCTGGCAACATTGTGCAGGTTGTTGTTGTTATATATAATGTGATGGATTTCTTTGTTCCAGGTCTTCAGTACTTTAAAAATGTTGTGCTGGTGGCATCTCCCCAAGACCGATATGTCCCATTTCATTCAGCAAGAATAGAAATGTGCAAAAACGCACTTAAAGACAGACACATAGGTACGTTAACATCCTTTTCATGTTTCCTGTGCCATTTGCTAGCTTTGTTGATGAGCGAGGTCTTTAGTTTAACTGAGGATGTAGCATCACCATGATTCATTAGCACAAGAAAAAAATTAAAACTCAAGTGTTAATTTGATAAGCAGAACTGTGTTTTCTTCCCACAGGAAGCTACTGACATCAATTCAGGAGCAACCTATGGAACTCTTTGATAAAAATACGTTTCAAGTTGGTTTCAAAGGGTTCTCCTTTCTTACCAGTTTCTTTTAAGAAATGTACTCATAACAATAGAATCCATTCCTAGCAATGTTACCAACAATTACCAACATTTGATCACCTTTTCTTTGATGTAACGAGCCTTGTCTAAAGACCATCAAAGTCTTGTCTTTCATTTCAGTAGACTTTGATTATGCCCTGCATGATTTAAGTGTCGGTGACATGGGAAATCATGTCTCTGTGAATTTATGATTGTCTTTATGATCAGCATATCGACTATTTCTTTAGAAGGTAAAGCCATTCTGTTTTTCTACAGCTCTCAGAAAATATAAAATATGGTATATACAGAGTCATTCTTTTTGCATCAATTTCACACGAACAAATAGGGTTACTCCTGGTAAGTGGGAAGAGAAAGCCAGGTCTAATGGGTTAGACAGTTTGGTGTAGTGCATCATCAGGATCTGAACTAAAGCACAGCTCCATTGCTTTCCAAACCCAGATGCAAGCTGAAGAGAGAAGGGCACAAAGGTGTAACTAGCAACTTCGGTACCCTGAGCAGACATGCTGTTGAGCACTGGAGAGCAAGGAGGAGAGTGCTGAGCACTGTGGGGTGCTAGTGCCCCCCTCTCTAAATTGGCCAGTGTGCTTCTCATCCCACCCTAGTGCTGCTACTGCATCTTCTCACCAGTGTCTCAGACATACTCCTTTAGGGACAGCATAGTAAATCCAGATCCAGGTTTCATATACATCATTCAGGTCCCTACAGAGCACTTACTGGTTTTCTAGACAGCTACCCATATCCCGTAGGCAGGTCAACTTAGTATTCAGGAATACTCTGCGTAGTTTTTGGGCTCCTTTGCCAAGTCCTTGAGGACCTGCATACCCTTCTAGATTCTGCCTTGCAGAGAGCTTTGGTTCCAAGTCTGTTTTCATTGAAGGGATGCATGGTTTTGCTCTTAACTTCAATGGGACCACATTGAGTTCTGACGTAGTTTATGAAGCCTACGTACAACCTACCTAGCAGATCCAGCAGGTTGCTTTGGGTCCATTTCTGATCAACTGTGTTATGACATTTGCTACACATTTATAATGGGCTGTTCTCTAGAGACTAGTGTTTTGCAACAACTTTCCGATTTCGTGGTCAGTTGTAATTACAGTGAAGCATCAACTCAGTGAAACACCTGATTGCTGGTATGACCACTGACTGCCTTTCAAACTCTTCTGCAGGTCCTGTTTATGCAGAGATGATAAACAACCTCCTCCAGCCTTTGATTGGAGAAAAGGACTGCACTTTAATAAGACACAACGTGTTCCATGCCCTGCCAAACACCGCCAACACGCTGATCGGACGGGCGGCTCACATAGCAGTGCTGGACTCTGAACTCTTCCTGGAAAAGTTTTTTCTGGTGGCAGGACTCAACTACTTCAAATAGTGCCTGAAGGACTGGGTAAAACAAAGGGAAGCATTTTGTTCAGTGAAGTAGAATCCCTTAGCCAAACGAGCGCAGTATTAGCAATGAGAAATATGCACGTGATCAGGTGGGACATTACCACTCCCTCCATTTCCATTTATGTTTCAGAGAATAAAGTGCTATGGCTTTAAGGTATTCAAGCTTCCAAATATTGGTGCTTTTGGAAGACATAAGTATTCACAGTCAGTTTCTGTTCTTTGTTCTCATAATGATGAAAGCTACTTCGGATTTAGTGAAGCAAGCATAAGAAAGCCAACACTTTAGGTGTGATTGGACCCGTATGATCTCCATTATTAACGCAGGAATGTAGTCACCCTTGGTCATTACTCACATACTTATTAACAGAGCTGTACATCTGTAGCATTTTTGTTGGAATAGTTAACACAAGAGGAAAGAAGCATATATGAACTCAGGTTAAAACCTCCTTTATGATGAACTGGAAAAAAATGAAATATATTTATGTGATCAGAATCCTTGATAGATGCAACAGTTAGGTTTGTCTAAAGAAAATACAGAGATGTTTCATTATCCTGACTAATCTGTAACATTCATACATTCAAAGCATGGGAAAGGGAAAAGAAATATTTTAAATAGAAGGAAAAAAAATCTTGAAAAGTCTCTTTATTTCTTGTTTACTTTTAATCCTTTAAGTCGAAAAAAAATGAACTCAAGATAGAAGCGGCCAAGCCAAGAGGAAGATATTGGGGAAAAAAAAAACATGGAATATTGTCATCTGTCAACATGTCTCCTGTTTATATTTTTAAAAAAACACCTTGTTTTGCTTATCTTTATGACCTCAGAGGTACAGTTGTTATTTTTTAAATTTGTACCTAAGTGCATTATCCCCAAGGTGTAAAAGTTTTGTCACTCTGAGCTGGCATTCAAAGTCATTCCAATGACACCATGATCAAGTTAGTCAAAGGGAATAGGCTGGCAACTTTTCCACAGAAAGTACCTTAAAATATAGGACTCTTCCATTAGGTCCTTTCTGGAATATGTTAATCCCAAAGTGGAAAGCTATATAGCATTCTAATTACTATCGTTTAGAGCTGGTTGAAAGTCTGTGAAAAATGAATACCTACATTGCTTTTCCAGGTTTGAAAAACTCACTTTCCAATCTCTAATTTTTTGGCGGGGGTTTATAAAGGATTTTTATTAAAATGTTATCAACAGTTGAAATGGCAAAGTTCAATAACTTTCAATGAGTTTTTCATATCATTTTGATAACTTTTCAATAAAGTAGAATATAACAATTTTACAAAAAGGGACACATTTTAGGGGAAAAAAAAAAAAAAAAGATCAAGGTCTTCATGCACCAAAAATGTTTTTGAAAAAAAAAAGACTTTTTTTTTGTTTTTTTTATGATGACCATTTTTTTTCCAAAAAAATTTTGACCAGCTCTATATACAGTGTATTATCTTGCCGTGAAGAACACTATGGTGGCACTAGGTGTTAAGGAGCTAAACTTTATTAAGGTTAAGGGAATGACATTCTTTGAAAGAAGACATTTCCAACAAAGTTGCACTGGAAACTCTCAAACATTGTGAATGTTTTGGACAAGGTGGGTTTTTTTCACACAAGTGTAGTTTAATAAAAAGGAAAGGTGATGGGTTAGAATTTGAGAAGAAATACTTCATGAAAAGGAGCACTGGAAAGTGGAATAACTGGCAAGTTAATACAACAAAAAATAATAGATTTGGTATGTGCTTTTTGTAGATAAGAAGGGTGTGAGGAATAATATGAGAATGAGAGGTAGGTGGGATGGAGATTGTTCGTTTGAGAATAATCAGGTAGACTGGGCCTGAGGACCATTTTCTGTCCCCTCAAGGTCATGTTGAAATGAAATATTAATAGTTGCCACGTACACACCATGTTTCAACATCAGAATGCTTTGTAAGCATGAACTATTCATGTAGTACCAGAGTGAATAGGTAGATAAATATTATCATCCTTATGTTAAAGAGGGGTATCCAAAATTTGAGAAATTCTGTCTTTCCATCAAGCTGCAAGGAGTGTTGAAGTCAGTATTAAACTCAAGAAAGCCTAGAGTCCCTGTTCTCGGTGGAGATCAATAGATCACATCTTTGCCTCTACAATGTTAGTGCCAGCCAAACCTGTTTACCACACTATTTAATTCCTTCTCAGTAAAATTTTATATTAAAGCTCCAACAATAATAAAACAGAGCATATAAGCTATGGTTTCACGTAGGTGGAGGGTAGTCTTTTGCATAATATATACCAAAAAGTGTGTCCATTCCCATTTTCTTACACTTGAATAATACTCTATTTGCTGGTACTTTCATGAGTCAGACAAAACCCTTGGGCAGTAGAGTCTTCTATTTTCAGACCAGCAGTCTTATCTTGTAATGGCTTTGCCTTGCATTTTTTGTTGGGTACCATTTCCAGCCTTTAATGTGTGTGTGCATGTATGTCTGAGTGTGCGGGAGAATGACAGGCCCTCCTATGCCAATGGGATTTTTGCATAAATGAAACGGCAGGATTCGTTCCTACAGGTATATGTAAATGTATCTTATTATGTGTGATGTTTACCTGGGGTCTGATCCAAAGCTCATGAAGTGGTTAGGAATCTTGCAGTAGATTTCAATGAGAGTTAATTTGGGCTCGTGCAGCCTGGGCTCATCAAGGATGTTGCAAGCCACTACTGCGGAGCCCAAGATAAAGCCTAGTAAGGCCGTCTTTGGATAGGATCAGATGTAGATTTTTATCTCCCTTGTGCTGCCAGAATGGTGTGAGAAATATTGGCAATAACAGTCCAGTTTAGTGTTGACTTGAAGCTATCAGGTGTCTCCTTTTTTTATTGGGATGTTGTCTTTGTAAAGAGCCTGAGTATTGTAAAACCTATCTTACCTACAAATATATACTACGGTTGTGCAGAAACGACACGCCGTCGTTATATTGTAAATAACATCTAAATGTTTGAACATCATTAAACTAATCAATCTGGCCTCATTTGAATAGGCTTTTTTATGTTGATTTCTATTGGGCTATATGTAAATATTAAAAACTGATCTCATTGACAACTATTATTGTTGTAAGCAAGCTATCTGCATAGCTGATTGTTTAGTATTTTGTTACACAGTAGGTCTTTGGGTTTGCTAGTCATTTCTTTTTTTTCCCCTTTTTTTTAATGCAAAACCATTTTTAATGATAATGAACAGAACTAAATATCAGTATTACCAGTAGCAACTGACTTTTTTCATACTAGACAATCCACATCCATATTAAATCAGTAATGCCAGTTGTCTAGTTCACAAGAGGTTAGGTGGAGGTTTTCAAGAACTGGAAAGAAGGTGGAAGCAAACATCAGCTCCGCAGCTGATGTGGGTCATCGTCATACCATTAAAATCTAAGGAAATGGTGTTGATTCATATCAGATTGGTGGCACTGGACTAAAAAATGATCTAGGACCTCAACTTTTAGTAATGACTGGGTACCTATGAGCACTGAGTCACATCTAGGTTGGGGGATTCATCACAATGACCAAGCTAGTTCTCTTCCTTGATTGCTTATTTTAATTCTCCCTTGCCTTCCCAGGACTTTCATTGAAAGAGCTTGGTGAAGGTTTGAGACCTCATTGTTTTGGAAGAGGAGATAACTAAGAACAGCAGTGTTTGGCTCTACCTATTAATTACCAGACCACAATATAGACAAGTGGCATAGTTACCATTTCTTGAGAGCAATCCACACTATCTCGCAATCGACTTTCTAGACTTGCCATTATCATAAGCTATATTCTATATCTCAAATGCATCGCACATTACAGGGAATATTATTACCTTGAAGTGGCTTCTAAACCAGTTCAGCTAGCTCCTCTTCAATGGCAGGTCATCTAGTTCTGTAGGGTGCCAGATTAGTTTTGAAAGCTAAATGAAACAAACTTAATAAAATGTTATTCACAGATTCATAAAAAAAAACAAAATGAAAAGAAAGTGAAAGGTGTTGTGAGTGTACTGATGGGTTTTCCAGCCATAAATGGCATTTCAGTGAAAAAATGATAACAGCTAAGCAGCCTGTGGGATGAAAGGTTTGCTCCTAAGTGTGTGAAAAATAGGAGGTATTTTAAAACAGGAGAATCATGGTGATAGCATTTCAGTAGATATAATACCCCATTAATAGCTTGGAGAAATTCTCTTAACTCAGGGCTCATAGGGTCTTGCTGACTGCTTTGAGTGCATTTTATCTCATTTGAAATTGCAGGCTACAAATCTTATTTCCTGCATTAGAATAGGGAGACTGAGACACCTAGGATACACAGCAGGCATATACTTCAGTACTGCAACTGGTCATGGGGAAGTTTGAATGCAAACTGCTCTGAGGGCTTATAGAAAGAAACATAAGCTGCATGCTAGTGAATGGTGAGTGTATCTCAAGAAAAACAGCAGTGGTTTCTAGGGCTTGGTTAGATTAATTTTAAAAAGCTGCGTTTTCAATCAGACTTTTTTTTTTACCTGGAAATATTGGCGGGTGGTTCCATTAATGCATGGACAAATCTTTGCATGTGCACATTGTGGGCCTGTACACCTCTAATTGGTAGCAGTCCAGTTTTAAATCAACTGCCGAATGTTGCATGTACAGTTGGATGCACTACCAGATATTAAAGGGGCAAATAAGCACTTGCTTTAAAAATTGCCCCTTGAGTATGCCTGCCTTTGGCTTGTTATGTGTGCCCATTTTCTATCTGAAACGACAAGTTTCCTTCAGCATTAGCAATGTGGGAAATTGTAATCCTCAGAAGAACCAGTACATCTTCTAATGATTTTTGCTTCTTACAAAGGTTTATGCAAATATCCCCAATTTGGTTACACGGATGATAATGATGGGTTGCAGTGGCATCAATCAAACTGTGCCAAT